AACTCATTTTTACGTCTTTCGTCAGTTCTCATGGCACTGTGCTTCAGCTGCTTCAGTTGTCTACTTTCCGCCCTCAGCAGAGGTTACTCACTTGCAGCAGATGGCCTTTCTTATCAGCACAGAAAACGGCTTATCTGCTTGCATCCTTTCCTCCTGTTACAGTGGAGCAGGTATTCCTCTTACTGTCTCATCTTTATCCTTCCCTGGAAGTTTATCTTCCTTCTTAGATTATCCTCTCTCCTGTAATCTTAAACCTCTCCTTATAGGATCTGTCTCATGCACATTTAAATAAAACCAGTTTGTTCATTTCTTTAGAGACAGAGTCTCACTGTGTTGCCCAGGCTGGCCCAGACTCCCAGGCTCAAGCAATCTTCCTGCCTCAGCCTCCCAAGAAGCTGGGACTACAGGCATTTGCCACTACATATCTATGCAGGCTTTACAGAAGAATTAATGGAGGCAGCATGTGTTGTTTGGCTTCCTGTTACTATGACAGATGCCTTACATATGATTTCCATTTATAAGGAGGAAAGGTTTATTTTGGCTTACAGTTTTGGAGGCTCTGGCACAATCAGTTGACCCTGTTGCTTTTGGGCCTGAGGTGAGGTGGTACATCAGGGCAGGGGGCACCTGGCAAAGCAGTCTCTTACTTCCTGTCTAGTAGTGAGAAAAACGTTCCATAGTTTTGCTGAAGGCCTTGTAGCTACCTGCAGAGCTGCCAGGAGGCTCTGCCTCTTAGTGAGCCCACCACACTCCAAGAGTGCGAGACCTGGCCTTTACTGCATGGGTCTTTGGGGGACATTTCAGACCTAAACTATAGCATAGCACCTTAGGTGAGTGATTTTATGTCATGATATAAAAGTCTTGACTTCAGAATGCTATTCTTAGCTGTGTCAGAGACCATGTGACACTGAACAGGAAATTTTCTGAGGAGTCAAATAGGAATTCTATCTTTGGGATAAAAACATCTGACAGAAACATGCATGCCAAGGACTTAGTACCCAGATGTGAAATGCTAGATTATATTTTACTGCTGAGGTTTGTGCTTGTGATTATACCATGTATTATCTCCTGTATCCAAGAGGAAAGTTCAATTTATAGTATTTTTTGTGATGCAGGGATGGGACCCAGGGCCTGGATCATGTTAGGCAGGCCCTTTACCACTGAGCTATATCCCGAAGCCCTTTGTAAAATTTTATTTTGAAACAGGGTTTTGATAAATTGTTCAGGCTGGTCTTGAAATTGTGATCCTCTTAGCTGGGCATGGTGGTGCACACCTGTAATCCTAGCACTTGGGAAGCTGAGGCAGGAGGATTGCCATGAGTTTAAAGCCAGCCTAGGCTACAAAGTGAGTTTAAAGCCTGGCTGAACTACATAGCAAGACCCTGTCTTAAAAAACAAAAACAGTGGCACAAGTGCCTGCCTGGCAAGCACAAGGTCCTGAGTTCAATTCCTGGTACCAAAAAAAAAAAAACCACCAAAAACCCAGAAAAACGAAATGAAATTGTAATCCTCCTGCCTTAGTCTTTTAAGTAGCTGGGATTAGGTATTTATCACCACACTTTCTATAAAGCCTAATATTGAGTAGAAATAATACTTTAGATGCAGATTTTCAAAAACCTGAGAAAACTGTGATGTTTTAAAAGAAGTTTTGTTTTCTCTTGTGGTACTGAGGATTGGGCCCAGGGCCCCCACACTGAACTACATCCCAGTATTCAAACTTTTTTTTTTTTTTTTTGAGACAGAGTCTTGCTAAATTGCCCAGGTGGGGCGTCAGACTTGGGATCCTCCTGTCTCAACAACCCAGAATGCTGGGATTGGGCCATGCGCTATCATGCCCAGTTTTAAAAAACTGTCCAAGCTGGGCTTGGTGGTGCACCTATAGTCTCAGCACTGAGAGAGACTAAGGAAGGGAGATAGCAAATTCTAGATCTGCCTGGACAACTCAGTGAGGCCCCATCTCTAGTGGGGAGGGGAGGGAGCGTGCTGGGATGTAGCTCAGTGGAGCACCTCAGGGTTTGATCGCCAGTGACACAAAATAAACAAAAAATTACTATACATTGTTCTAATTTACCCTATGCCTTCAGGACACAAATCTTTAAATATCTTGGAATGTTAATAAATGATTGAAGGAGCTCATTTTAATGTGCTTATTTTAACTGTGAAGAATATCCAGTATTGATGAAATGATGAATGGATTGGGTCGACTTAATACCAACAGAATACAAGATTAAAATGGTAGAGTTGGAAAAATAAATATGAATATAGGCTGAAGTACTTTGATTTATTAAATTCAGGTATTCTGTTCAGATTAAATATATTTCCTTGCAAATACAAAATAAAATGAACCAGTTGTGTAGTCTCTAAAACAAAGAAACAAAAGCTTAGTGACTTAGGAAGGGGGTAATGGGCCCAGAGCCTTGCAAGTGCTAGGTTAGCCTTCTACTTCTGAGCCGCACCCCAACCCATCTTCTAAAAACTAAAATTCTATGCATCAGGAATCTGGGCAGAGCTTATATATGTTAGCTTTCCTGTCGCTGGGACAAAATACTCTCAACCTGCAGTTTAGAGCTTTATTTTGGCCCATGTTTTTCAGAGGACTTGAGGGCAGACATGGCAGGGTAGAATAGCAGAGCAGAGCAGAGCCATTCAGCCATGGCTGCCAGTAAGCAGAGATAGGGAGAGAGAAGGGGAACACCAGGGGCAGAACACGCCTTTCAGGTCAGGCCCTCAGTTACCCACTGCCTGGGACTAGATCCTACTTCCCAAGAGCACATGCAGCTGTGGACTCATTTATACATGAGCGCATCTCCCTCAAGCGCCAGTCACCTTCCCAACACATGAGGCTTGGGGTATGTGTTAGATCTAAACTGTAACAGCTTAGCCGGTTATTTCTAGCTAAGGTTTCTCAGGCATGTGTAGTCTGGTGGTGGGTCAGGCTGGAAGAGGGGAGCTGGGATCAGCTGGGAATGGTGGGCATCTCTCTCCAGGTATTGTTAGGGCTTCTCTATGCAAGCTCCTTTGAGCTGCCTCATATCATGTAGCCTCGGAACAGATCAACTGCATTGCTTGTGCAGGGCTCCAGTGTAAATCTGCCAGCAAAAGTAGATGAAACTGTCTCAGAAGTCCTATCTGCTACATTCTGTTGATTATGAGTGAATCACAGGGCCACTCAGATTCAAGGGGAGGAGGATTAGATTCTACTTAATGGGGCAGTGGCAAAGTTACACTGTAGCTGAGGCAGAAAGATTGCCTAAAGTTAGAGGTCAGCCTGGGCTACACAGGGAGTTCAGTGCCAGCCTGAACTACACAGCAAGACCTTGTCTAAAAACTAAATAAAAGTCATGGCTAACACTCTGAAACAAAACAGATTAACATTAAAAAAAAAAGCATAACAGTCATTTAATCGAGTTTATACAGTGACATGATAGCTTTTAGGGTGAAGATCCAAAGACATGGGAAAATGACTTTTTATGCTCAGATTTGATGAACAATGGATAAAAAGGGTATGATCTAATGGAATAAATTGGGGAAATCTAGCAAGTCCTTGCTGTTGTTAGTATTTCTTCCTTCTGGGTATGGGACAGGCTGCCTCTAGAATGATGGTCTTGTTTTTTGAATGAGGGTCATATTGATACAGGAAAATAAAAACTCCCAACCTAAATATCTGGGACGAGTTCGTGTTCTCTAAAATTGAAGAATGAATTTTAGAAACAATGGAGGTTAAGAGCACAATATATTTATTGAGAGAAAGAAAGCTTCTGTCCAAGAGAGGGACAGAAGGGGAGCCCGAGTGGATCACCCCCCAACTCTGACTTTCCTGGGGACTTTTATAAGCAAAACAACGAGGTGAGGAGGGTCCAAGGTAGGGGAAAACGGACAAAACTAAATAAGAATTGTTTAGGTAGAATTTATTAAATTGGGATCAAATGGGGAAGCAAGTCATGTAGCAAGAGGGCATGAATACAGAGCAGGGGCTTTTCCTGTAAGGGGTTGTTGGGTCAGGGACTCTTTAATCCCAGATGTCCATTGCTTGGCGGGTAAGAGGGTATGTTTGTTTAGTCCTTTGTCTTGAGGTCTGGCTCACAGGTATCTTGTCTTTCATGTTGGCCCCTTCGAGGGCCTGGCCCTGTCTGACTGCCTATAATATTTGTATCTAACTCAGCTGCCTGTAACACTATGACCTACTATTGGTCAAAGGTAGGTCAGCAAATCTTTATGGCCAGCTGAAGTTTGGAGTTTATTTCTAGTTTTATGGCTGGCTTTGGGGAACAAGTCTAGTTTCTGTTGAGGAAGAGGGACTCTAATATCTATGGTTTGCCTGGGGTAAGGAGAAAGAAGGGCAGGAGGTTCTAAGGCTGCTTCTGAAGAGGTCGTCTAGAGCCCTTTAGTTCAAAGTCCAGTACTCAGCATGCCAAAGTGCCATAGGGGTATCATTTTTTGTAGCTCAGGATTAGTTAAACCAGCCAATCAACAAAAACCTGTCCTGAGCAGACAGGATTAAGTCCGCCAAATACGGGGGTGGGGGAAGTTATATATATATATATATTCCCTATATTAAAAAAAAATTCATTTACGTGAAATTCAGGTTTAAACAGGTTTATCTTATATCCTATCTGCCAATCCTAGGTGATGCAATAGATTCAAAGATTTGCAGCCTCCATAGGTTCGTCTTTGCGCGGTATCTCTAGGCAGCTTGTGGACCTGTCTCTAGAAATGAACAGGGTGTAAACTGCCCGGGCTGGTGCAGTGTACGCGGCAAGCAACCAGATACCGACTTCCTGGGAGTGAAAGGACCACTGGCCTCTGCGGGAGCTAGACTCGGGGGTCAGTAGAATTCGAGAGATCCTGCGACACCTGCTGTTTGACTCCTGAAGAGGCTTCAGTCTCCGTCATAGGCCGCCGGCCAGAAGCCGACCGCCAGATTCCAATATGGCGTTCGCGGCGACCGCCAGGTGCCAAGATGGCGGCGCGAGGCTGCGCCTGCGCTCTCGCGTCTCCTCCCCCAATTTCCCTCGGGCAGTGAGCGCGACTCTCTTTGCTTAACCCGAACGCGGGCTGCTCTTCTGCTGGGTGGTGGTCCGGGTCGACGCCCGCACCCTGCCATGCGGCTCCTCTGTAGGTGGCAGCTGCTGCTGTGGGTGCTGGGGCTTCCTGCCCGCGGCCTAGAGGGTGAGTGCGGGCCGGGCCGGGGCCGGGGCCGGGGGTGGCAGCGACGGTGTATAGAGTGACCGCGCGAGGGGCTGTCGGCGGGCGCGGCGCTTTACCTGCGTGAAAGCCTGCCTTGCGCGCCTCGCCGCTGCCCCGCGTCCTCCCCCGAGCTTCTCTGACTTCTGCCGCCAGTGGTCGGCGGCAGCCGGACGGCGGGGCGGACAGCGCCCGCTGTGACGTCGCCCGGCTCAGTCCCCTCCTGCGGGCACCGGAGGGGCTGTGTATTATAGGCTACGAGGGAGGCATGCGTAAGTGCCCGTCTTGAAGCGCGTTATTATTAACCATCGTCATCATGAGGAAGAGCCGGTATTTTCTGCGGCCTTACTAGAGTCCGGGAGCTGTACCTGTACTTTGCATCTTTCCCTCGTTTAGCCTTCCACCAACTGGGAGACAAGTCCCATTAGTACGGACAGGGGCTAAGCGATCTGGCGAAGTCAGCACTTCAAGTCAGTGGCAGAGCCTAACTCTGACTTCAAAGCCACGCTGGAGTCCACCCTGCTGGGCCACTTTCTGTAGGAGACCAGTCTTGCCCAGGTGTCTGCATAAGGACAAGCTAGAGAAACAACGGGACTCCCAGGGTCATGCTGGCAGACCCCTTGAAGTGGGGAGTGCTGCCGGACTGGAGGCATGGCTGAAATGGGCAGCAGAAGCAGTGTGCCATTGTTTCTTCCTCCTACCCCTCACTGTCCTGTTAAGTCCAGATCCTTTGGCCTTGCTTGTCATTCACATCTTAACAGAAACAGACAAGTCTTTCCTCTCTCTGGGCTGTCCCTGGAAGGAGGTGGAGCAGCAGACTGTTTTTGAGCTGGGAGAAGAGTGAATCGTAATGACAGATTACCGTTAATGAAAGCACCCACTGTGCACCATTCTCAGTGCTTAGTGCTCTCAGCATCATCTTAGTCTTTAAATGCTATGTGGTAGATATTATTAATCCCATTTTATAGATGAGTAAACTGAGGCTCAGAACCAGTAAGTCCTTTGCCAAGGGTGTACAGCCAGCAGTTTAGGAGCCATGATACAAGCCTGAGTCCCCTGACCTCACAGTGAGGACTGTGTATTTTCATTACTTTACTTTTTATTTTGGTTTTTTTAAAATTTTGAGACAGGGTCTCACTGTGTAGCCCAGGCTGGCCTCAAACTCATGGCAATCCTGCTTCAGCCTCCTGAGTTCTGGGATTACAAGTATTTGCCATCATGCCCAGCTTCACTACTTTTTTAAAATTTAAATTTAAATTTTTGTTAGTACATGTTTGCAGTGCATAATGATTATGTTTACCATGGGGAGTTGGTATATGTGTGTGACACATCTAATTTCTTTTTTCATACCCTTTTTTTTCCCTCCTCCACCCTCCCTGCATCTTTTCATCCCTTTCCCATTTGCAAAAAGATCACCTCCCTGTTTTTATTTGTTTTTGTTGTTTTGTTATTTTGAGACAGGGTCTCGTTATGCAGTTCAGGCTGGCCTTATGAAGCTCACTGATGTAGCCTATACTGGTCTCAAACTCGCAATGATCCTCCAGCCTCAGCCTCCTGAGTGCTGGGATTACAGGCATACACCACCACGCCTGGCCTTCCTCCCTGTTTTTAATTATCTTTTATTTTGCTCTTTATTTATATTTTGGGTTTCTCATATAAAAGAAACCATAAAGTATTTAAACTTGTGTGTCTGATTTATTTCACTTAACATTATGGTCTCAGGGTGCCTCTGTTTTCCTACAAATGACTCACTTTTACCATGTTTTTATGGCAGAGTAGTATGCCACTGTGTGTCAGTACCATATTTTCTTTATCCATTCATCT